CAAGGGTCTTTGAACCATTTAATCCGAAATTGTTAAGCATAATGCTCCTTAAGTACCGTTTTAAATTCTCCCAAAACAATTTTTGGAACACAAAAAGACCCTAATTATCTTAAAAGCGCTAGCACTCTTGGTTATTACGGTACCTTAAAAAGTATCGTACATGTTTCCATGACACTAAGTGACCTTTTAAATACACTGGCTTTATGGAGTTTTAGTCACGGGCTGAACTTAGCAACAGGTTTTTAGTCACGGGCTGAAGTTAGTAGTTAGTAGTTCTTGTAAAATATTATTAAATATGAAAATTATTTTATTATCTCAATACAAAAATACAAAAGTATTAAATAGTTTCTCAACGTCAATATTTAAAAAGTTATATAACCATTGTACTGACCTTTCAATTTAGCCGAGAGTAAACTAGATTTAACTTAATTTTGGGTGAAGACTTCACCGTGAAGTGCCAATAAAACATTTTCTTTACTTTCACTTTGAAAAACTGATTAAACGGTCCATTTTTAAGGGATACATTTCGATTTACACATAAACATTTGATATTTGAGATTTCAAAGTTGGTTACTCTAATGTTTCATAGATGTTGCTCTACACAAATCAGAGTTGCAAATACTTAATGCATTTTTTTAATTCTTTAAGGTTTTAATATTCATCATTAAAATAATGGGTAATGAGTTTAATTTTCATTATGCATTTTTTTTTAATGATCATTAATTTAATTTTTTCCAATGAGTAATGCACTCTTTTTTACATTACTCATTTTTAATTTCTAATGAGTAATTTGAGATTTTCAATGAATTTTTTTTATGTAAAAAGTAATGTACTCACTTCACATAACTCATTTTTTATTGTTAATGAGAAATGAATGAGTATTGAATTACTCATTTTTAGTGGGCAAGGAAGATATTTTTATTGCACGACACATTTTTTTAATGTTTGCAATTTTGCAATAGATAAAAGTGTAATTAATCTTTTATAAAAAACATGGATTTATTATTTAAAAGTAATCAATTTCAATTTTTTATTTTAATAGTCACCTTTATTGAAGGAAATGATTAAATTTTATGAAAATTGCTAATCTTATCAAAGAAACTTTTTGCAGCTTCATTAATTGTAAATCATTTGTATGATAAAAAAAAGTTTAGGGAGCCCATCAACCCCCACCCCTGATCATTTTCTCTGATGTCTTTCGTTAGACATTTTTTTTAATGTTCATTACTCATTTTTTATTTTTTTTAATGAGTAATGTATTGTTTGACAGGGGAATGAGAGAACATCACAGAAGATAAGAGCGACCCTCTCAATAGCCAATCCAGGCCATATGGCCGCATTCCAATTGCGTACACCACAGGGCCGGCTTTATCTATTTTGTATATTAATATTTATATTTTTAAATTAAATTTGGAAAAATAGTAAGAAGGCAAAGATATAAATTAAATGAAATCGGTATAAACACTAATTTAATAATAAAATAAATAAAGAATATACAAGGTTGGTAGCCGGCACTCGGCAGGAGGAATATCCACCAAGGCAGAGGGCACTTACGGTGGGTCATGGCCGCCAACACTTCGGTACGGAAAACAAAACTCAGTATCACACAGGGGGGCAAACAATTCTAAAGAGGTTACCAGGAACCTGATACTGACTCGGACAGAGATGTTTAGAAATACACCAACAAGGACAGGTTCTAGCAGCGTACTAACACTTCTACCCCCATTCATGAATACCAATTGAATAGGGTTATTACTAAGTCCCAGGTTGAGGAGGATTCCGGATTGTACTTAGTTTTGGGTCAGTTCAATGTCCTCCAAAAGCCCTTCCTAATCTGAACGTATGGCCCGACCCGGCTGACAAAAATCCGGGAGCGGCCTTAACCTTTGACACTGTCATCCACGAACTCCTAGGGTGGATCTACCAGCCGGCGTAAAAACTTCGATCCAACAAACACAGGTAATGCTGTGATTTGGCGGGATACGCAGGAGAACGGAAAGGGGGTAAAATAACCCCGGGAGATTAGTGGAAGATAATATATTTGGGGCCTGCCATACGTTCCCATACTCATACTCATACTCAGTAATGTATTGTTTGACATTACTTATTAATTTTTTAATAAGTAATGAATTTATTTCTCATTAAATTTTTTTTAATGATTAATGTATTTAAACTACAATACCATTAAAAATAAAAATGCCGATTGCATTATTTATTTACATTAACATTTTTGCAAATATTAAATTTAAATCATTTTTAGATAATAATAAGTATTTGTCGTAGAAAAAGTATAGTATGCAACTTAATTATAAACTTGTCTAGATTTTCTAGATTTAATTAAGCCTAAAATGGCGTTTATCAAATTTGAATCATAATAAACTATTAAATATATTATTTTTATTTATTGTTCTTGCTAACTAACTGAGAAGAAAATGTTATTTTTAACAATTTTAAAGATTTTTTTTTGAGTCAGGAAAGTTAAGATAATCCAGATTATATTATTGGGATAGTTTATCTAAAAAATTATTAAGTAGGTACTTATTACACTCGTAACTTTTTTTATAGTTTATCACTCTTAACAAATATACAGGGTTTAAAATAAAAATTAAATGATTTGTGGGGGGAAATCAATCCGGACTAAAACTGGTTCTCATACTCTCCGCCTTATGGGGGGAACAGGGGTTAACTTTAAAATGTCCAACGGATCACCCTATTTTCATTGCATATTCGGATCATTTGACTAAAAATATTGCAGAATCGTATAAGAAGAAAAATCGAACAAAATTGATTTTTTTTCATTTCAGCAAATATGAAAAAATGTTTTAGACACAAAACTGGCTATTTTTAGTCAAATGATCCGAATCTGCAATAAAAAATAGAGTGTTCCATTGGAAATTTTAAAGTGTTTAAAGTTTAAAGTGTTCCCCCTATAAGGAGGAGAGTATGAGGACCAACTTTAGTACTGATTGATTCCCTCGAATTATTTAATTTTTATTTTAAACATTTTTTCGTAAAACGCATACTAACTGAGATATTTCAAAGTTTCAAGTTAAATGACTTAACTATTTTACTTAAATTTCTTGTAATATTCATTGGTAATGTATTCTTGTAAGATTTCAAGAAACATTATTTTTCAGAAAACAACTAAACTTGAAACCCTCGATATTGTACCAAAGCTCCCAACCATATAGAATGCTTTCTAGTCTTGAATACTTAAAAAACAAAATTAAATTAAAAATAATTGCTTCAACTCGAAATACCAAGATCTCGCACTAATTCTGCAAGATTAGTCTTGCACTAAAATCATGCGCGATCTCGCAAGATTTGCGAGATTAGGACGCAGCGCATTCCATGTGTGTTTTGTGTTTTTTTGAGAAGTCATTTTCAAAATAATGTATAGTTTTTTCAATAAATAATTTTAGTTTTGTTTATGCTTTTCGCCTCAATAGCTTGATGATTATTCGTATATACCTAATATTATATACCACTAGTGGTAAAATTACCGATACAATTTTTGACTTCTATACGAGTGTTTTTTCTTGGAAATTTTGCAATTGGGATTAATTTTTAAGACCACGAGCCGATAGGCGAGTGGTTTTAAATTAATGCCACGAGGGAAATTTCCAAGGAAAAATCTTGAGTAAATAAAATTTTTTCAGCGAAAATTTTATTACGAGTGGTTTTCGGTAAGGCTATTTCACGAATATTTTTTTTAAATTAGAATTAACTGCCGATATTTTTTGACATTTTTATTTTTAAATTGGAAACGTCAACATTGACAATTATTTTTCGCATAGCAACCAATTGGTTGGTCGTATAAAGGAGTGTTTTTTTTATCTAAATAGGTAGTAGTTTTATCGCTGCAACACTGAAAAAACACTCGTTATCTGAAATCTGATTGGTCCATAAAGTAATGATAGTTATTTAATTTATGTTTTATTTCATTATTTTGCCTTTAGGATATAAAAAAATTTTCAATTTTTAAATCAAGAAAATATATTTGATTCAAGAGTATGTTTGTGTTGAATAAACCTACGCATGCGCTAATGTACCATCCCCTTCGTCTTGACTCAGCGTAACTTCCATAGAGATATGGTCTATGATAGCGTCCTTCTTTACATACCGGTGCAAGTTCTTGGTGTAATTAATGGTGGAGAAATTGTGGTATATTTTGTTGTCGTTTGTTTAATTGGAGATAACTTGGGTCTTCATTCAGTGTTACCAAGAATATTTTTCTGCAATTTTTTTTGCAGGTTTTGCACTCTACCCAAGATAGAAAGTTTCTATTAGAAACAGGAAACAAACAAGTTACAGAAAAATCATCCATGTGAAGGGAGAAAGAACAGTATTCTAATCATTTGGAGAACAACAGCTTTATATTTTCACTGTAAAAATTAAAATGAATTTCATATAAACCGATAGGGTTTATTTTAAGAATATCATGGTTTTACTTTAACACTGTATCTTTTCAAATTCAAAATACGATTTTTTAGTATAAAAATATGTCGAAGGTTGTTTGAAAAATATTCTGCTTATTTTAAGAAAACATAGTCTTAACACAAAGTTGTAATAGCTACAGAATAAGAATTAACAAAGTTTAACCGCAAATTGACGAATTTTAATTTAAGAATTTTAGGGATTCAACATAACTTTACAATTCGAATAAATAAATTTCTTGTAAGAAAAAACTATTTTTTTGTGTATATGGAAAACTAAGATTTGCTTGGAACAATAGTATTTTATTTGTTTAAAAAATAATCTTTTTTCTGTGTAATTTCTTTTTTCATTAATTTTAAATCTGCGAGATTTTGCAAAATACCGAGATCTTGCGAGATTACACCTCTTAAATCTTGCTATACCAGGATTGTACATTTTCCTGCAAGACTGCATTCCCTACTAATCAACCTAATAAAAAAAATACATATTTAATATTCCAAATAGATTTTGTCAACAAAAAGTTCACTATCAAACTAAATCTTCACTTGGTGCTGGGTACTTACAGAGATGGTGAGGGTGGTAGCGAAAAAAATGAGGAACAGGGAGGCGTTACACATGTCTGCAATTCACATCATCATGCGGCTGCCACTGCACTCAACCGTGCGCACCCCAGCGAGCTTAGCGTTCGACTGAAGAGACCGCGGCCTATGGCAACCAGCAGCGGCGGCCGCGGCTGAAGCAGCCGAATCCGGTGCACGACAACCCGGAGTCTAAGCACCAGAATGTGGGGCCATCAATTAACGCCGCACAGACAGGTATTTTGAGCTGAAACGTGGCCAAAACTCAATTACGTTCATTTTTATTGCTAGATCCAAGATTGCGTCTTAAAGCAGATAGATAAGAGTAATAATTACTCGGAAAAACATCATTAGTCCAAAATTAACATGTTTGGGAAAATGAAAAAAACTCTCCGACATTCCCATTTTTGACCAAAGTACTTTATTGACCTGTTTACTACATGTAAAAAAATGTACTTTGTCCAGAATTCCTCATGTTTTTTTTTTCGACGAATATGAAAAAAACAAAAAAAATACATGAAAATGTGAGGTTTTTAGAAGAAAAAAACGAACAATTCTCCTTACTACAAACACTACAAACTAAATATTAACTCTGAGTAACAAAATAAATGAAAAAACTAAAAACTGTATTACTGCCACACTCAGTCTTCGCATCCACTGCTGTTATCATCGTCGACCGTGTTATCAGGACTGTCAGGTGCTATGGTTAGTGATGCCGCCGATACGAGAGATTCTGGCCTCTCGTCTCGTCTCGTCTCGACGAGACGAGAGGGCGATTTTCTCTCGAAAAAAGGCTCGAGACGAGACGAGAGAATGCCCTTTCTCGCTCGAGAATTTCTCGTTTCTCTCGATCTCTCTCGTTCTCTCGATTATAAAGAACAATTTTTTTAACATAAAAATTATAATTTTGCACATAAATGACGATATTTATTTCATAATAAACAAAATTTGTTCCTGGTTAACGTTTTATTATTTTATAACACAACTTAACGTTAACCAAGAAAAAATTACTTATAAAATAATAATAATTTTTAAAATTTACCCTGTATAAGCACATCTATGGCACTCCTTATACTATTAAAAAAAACCGTATGCTTAATAAGCATTGCTTATTCAATAAACTTATCAACAACATGTGGTTTTTGAGGGCCTGATTACAAATTTGATATCCATTTTTTTTTTTTAATAAAATGGCTGATCCAATATGATGAAAATTCGTCGTTTGGCTTTAATGGTTTGGGTAAAATTTAGTATTCAGATATTTATGGGGTCCCTGATTCAGAATTTGATATCCATTAAAAAAAAAACAAAATTGCGGATTCAAAATGACGGACATGCGCAGTAGGTACAAGATGGTTGGATCTATGTGGAGTAGTTACATCATATATGCGCAGTAGTTTTCAGATGGATGGATCAAATGATTTGATCCATTGAAAACTACTGCGCCGATACAGGCTTTTTCTTTTAACTTGAGACAGCTCAATAACCCGAGAAATACGCATTTCACGGAAAAATGTTTTAAATAAAAGGTTAATGTGACCAAAGGGGACATTATTTGGTGCTACCGCTAGCCACTCCCTACGCCTCCTTAAGGGTGAAACGGGGGGTAACTTTGGAGAGTCAAATGGGATAACCCTTTTTTTTACAGATTTTGGTAGTACTTAAAAAAATTAATAACTTTTTTTAAAACTTTTTTCAATTTATCAACAGATGGCGCTGTAATTCAAAATTTAAGAAAAATGGGGTTCCCTGTAAAATGTATTATTTGAAACGTTTGAAAAACAAAAATTAACATTAAATCAACAATAGCCGGCTCTGAAAACAATTTATAACAAATGTTCGAAATGTCGTCCTTCCATTTCGACACCAGCGTCCCTGGTCGGTAAACGTTTAGTGCGGTACCTTTGGCGAACGGCATTAAATTATGAAAATTATCGAAATTTTCTAGATAACGATCTGCCAGACTTCTTCCTGTGGGGTTACTTGAAAGAAAAAGTTTACGCTGCAATTCCTACAACTCGGGAGGACATGGTGGAGCCAGAATTCATTACCCGCATTCAAAAATGTGTCGAAATGAAAGGATGACATTTTGAATATTTGTTATAAATTGTTTTCAGAGCCGACTATTGTTGATTTAATGTTAATTTTTGTTTTTCAAACGTTTCAAATAATAAATTTTACAAGGAAACCCAATTTTCTTAAATTTTGAATTACAGCGCCATCTGTTGATAAATTGAAAAAAAATTTCAAATAAAAGTTATTCATTTTTTTATGTACTACCAAAATCTGTGAAAAAATCGGGTCATTCCATTTGTATTTCTAAAGTTACCCTCCGTTTCACCCTTAAGGAGGGGTAGGGGGTGGCTAGCGGTAGCACCAAATAATGTCCCCTTTGGTCAAATTAACCTTTAATTTAAGACATTTTTCTGTGAAATACGTATTTCACGAGATATTGAGCTGTCTCAAGTTAAAAGAAACACCTATTATAGGTGTATAATACTAGATGTAACTACTCCACATAGATCCAACCATTTGATTCAAATGTGCAACATTTTCGGCGTAAAAGGTCTTACTTTATTAGTGTGGTCTTGGCACACATTTTTTTTTATTTCCAGTTTAAATTTCTATATAAAAAAATATAAACGAATTTGTATTTCATTCCAAATAATTTTTGTATTCATACTTAGCAATTTTACCACGAGAGAAACGAGACGAGACGAGAGAAAGGCACTCTCGAGCGAGAAAAGAGTATTCTCGACGAGACGAGAGACCCATTTTCTCTCGCTGCACGAGACGAGACGAGAGAAGGACTTTTCTCGTCTCGTCTCGTCTCGCGGCATCACTAGCTATGGTCTTCTGGTATTTTATCAAGTTATCATAAAATTTTATATTGCTGTGGTCATGTAAAAGAGGTAAAAGCTTTTTCTTACTACCTCGACTCAAAATACGTTGTTTCGTCCCCGATTTCACGGCAGAAAGTTTACGTTTCTTGCATTGGTCAAGCTATACGCGCACACTCTAATAGCGGGAGTAAAAATTTTTTAGTCGTGTGCTTAACATTCAAATTTCGTACTGCCAACATGAGTAACACATAAATATGACAGTTTTAAACCATAATTTTGCAATTATAACAACAAATAAACAATTTATGTTTTTACTTTTTTACTTTTTATGTTGTTTTAAGTGTTTAATGGTACTTTTATTTGTTATAAAGTAGTAATTTGTTAATTAAAATACAACCTTTTATTTTTACTGTATTGGCACCGCTGAATTACCATGACAACGCTACAGTTTGATTGATTTTGAATGTAAACGTCAGAATTAAATTAAACGTCAGATTTTAATTTTGACACAAGTTTTTTTATATAGGTACATTTAATTTTTTCCCGTATTTTCTGCGGGGTAGCAAGAAAAATAGTATACACTACACGGGCAGAAAGTGTGAGAGCCCTGAACTGCGCGCCATGATGCCCTCGGCTTCGCCTCGGGCATCATGGCGCGCAGTGCAGGAATCTCACACTTTCTGCCCTTGTAGTGTAATATACTATTCTAGAGTGTCCAAAAACGTCACATGTTATGCACATGTGACTTTCTTAGACGAAACGGAGTGGACTTGTGATGTTTTTAGAAGAACAAGCTAAATTTCATATTTAATTATTATGGAACCTATGACATTTTTACGAGAAAAACTTATTTGTATACGTATATATGGAGGTTAGGAAACAGTTGGTGCTAATATCTAAATTTCGACGATATTGGACTAATGATGTTTTTCCGAGAAACGCCTCAATTCTACAAAAGTTGGGAACTTTTGACCTCATTTTGTTTATATAGTTTTTGGAGAAAATTAAACAGTATTTTGTTATGAGAACAGATAATATAATAAATATATAGTTCCAGACCGGGCCAGTCACTTTTTCAAACAGTTTCTGAAATATCTGTGTTTTCTAAATTTGAAGGGAAGTGACGAGTATACCAGGGTACTAATTAAATACATAATTTATAGGAAAATATAAGATTTATTGCAACATATTATACATTAAATATCTTAAAATCAAATAATATCACACATCAGTGGAGGCTGGTGGATTTTGGGTAGGTATACCGATATCTCAATTATTAGATATGGGACCCAAACCAAATTTATATGAGTTTATAATGACATTAAACAAACAAGTTCTGCGCAAGCAGAATATAAATTGAAGTTTGCGAAAAAAAGATAACCGAAACATTGAACATGGAACTGACGACACGGTACTGCATCATGATGAATGGGATACAAATTTGAGATTATAATTCGGAATTAAGTATTTTACTGATATTTTTTATTAGTGGATGCTATAGCATCCCAAGTATACTTATCAACAAATCACGTATAGCCTTATATAAATTACAATGAAATATATATACGTAAGAAAATAACTACTTGCCACAGTACTGAAATTTTGACTGGAACTATAGGTGCATTCACCACATTTTCGCCGTTTGCATTGTTTTCCAGATGAGTGTCGTGTAAAGGGCGGGCTCTTTAGGTAATTTTTTACCAACACTTTATAAAACGAGGACTTTGCGTTTAAACTTCAATATATCGGAATTTTGAATTTTAACATTGGACACAGAACTGACAGGTTAAAGTGAGTACAAAGATTATCAATTTTTAAAAATTGCTATTATTCGAATCTATGATAAAATATGGAAAAACAATATTTAATGTTTAATAGTTTGTAGTGAAATTGAAAAATATAAGATAAATTGAATATATTTTAAAATAAAATCACTCAAATATTTGATTCAGGAGTTGTGACACGCCAAGGTACTGATGTTTTGAATATTTATTATGTTTTTCTACAAACGTGCTTTTGAAAAAATACATTAAAATATGGGGGACAAGTGAAAAAAAACCTGGATCTTTTGTAATATACTAAAATATTTACAAAAAATATTAAAATACCTACTCTATTGACTGATGACATCAAGTTGTCCAACTTTTGTAGAATCAACCATAACATGGCTATCTTTTGGTCTGGTTGCTACCTGAATTGGCCATCCCAGTCCGCGGTACCAACAGCTGGAACATAGCGCTCCTTTAAATCGTACGTCTTCGTTTGCAACACTCCACAA